CTGATTTGGCTTCTGGTCCCCCAGTGGCATTCCCTGTCATGGAACTACTACCTGTTCACAGTTCCCACTCAGAAATTTCTGGTCAGGGCATTGCTATGGGATTACAACCACTGGTCTCTCTGTAGTATCTTGGGTTAGGGCATTGCTGTAGGCTTCCTTCTTCCCTGGGACATCCTTGGGCATGGTACTGATGCCATCTTTTGGCCTGTTCACTAGAGCTTCTGCTGACTTCCCTGGTGGGAAGCCTATACCAATACCCAAGGCTATCTTTTTGTGCAGTATTTGGTTATATGAAGGAGTATATTGATGTTTCTCTTTGGATTTCTTGATCATTATTACATCTGGTGCCCTTTTAAAATCATTGCTGGAGAACCTGTAGGACAGCTGAGCTCCTCTTTGACCAGTACCACCTTCACTGCTATGCTATCTAACTATAGTTCCATTTAGTCAGGGCAAACTTCACCAGGGTAATAGCACTTAAAATCATTTTCTAGTGGAGCCATTTAGCCCATACCTGCATGATCAATTGTAGCTCCTGAAATTCACACAAAGAGCTTTTACTACCTCAACTTTCAACATTCCTTTTAAACTGCCTACCTCCTATATGGACATCTATACCCAGCATTCTTCCTATTCTTGAGTTCCCTCCCAAATACTTTATATTTATTTGTATTTATTATCTCCACATTTTTTCTGTGTATGCTTATTCACATACCTATTGTTCCCACCATTAGAATGTAAGCTCTTTGAGGAGATACTCTTTCATTCTTGGCATTTGTATATTCAATTCCTAGAACATTGCTTGGCACACAGTGGCCACTTAATAAATGCTTGTCAGTCACTCAGTTGAGTGAGATGGAGATCAAATGTCTCCTATTCACTCATGGGTAGTCCTGCACAGTTACAGATCAACTGAAATAGCATCATTTCATGGCTTTCCTGGAGTTTTCCCTGTCAGCATTCCATTCTAAATGGTGCTGGCCTTCTTTCTTCGTGTTTTTCTTTGGCACAGTCAGGATGAATCTCTAGAAATTATTGATCAATCTTGTCCCACAGAGGAGCAAACATAGCAGGCAACATCAGAATCCACACAAACTTGCTGTGTTGGGACTTGTAATAAAAATCCCACCACACTGGTTTCTTAGGTTCAGTGGTACCTCAGAAGCAAACCTTGAAAAGTAGGATTTCCATGGATATTAGCTGGAGGGAAAGACAAGGAAGCCTTGATATGGTTTAAGTGTTGATTTAAAGAAAGATGTCGGTAAAAGAACACAAATAAAACTCAAATCTTTCGTGGGTGCCTGAAGGCACCTGTTCTATCGTGCCCATCACCACCTGCCATCTTACCCATCATAATCCTCCATTCTCTGATTTTTATAGAAGACGTCCAGGCAAGGTACACCAAGACAAACTCTCTTCTGTTGGGCTCCCCTTATACTTCAGTACACTGAAACTGGAGGGGTTGAAAAATACACCTCAGCATAGTCAGCTTCTACACATTTTATGTAAGATGCTCCAGTGTTACATACAATTGTCCCTAAGAACATTAAATAGATATGTGCTGAAAGATGATGGCTGAGAGTGAACATGGAAATGACAGAGACACCAAATAGCACTAATGTGCTGGGGTGATCATTTGATTCAGAATAAAGATGTCAGCAGAGGCTGAGGTATCATGTCCAGATCCAGCAGAGTTCACATTTTTCCCACTGATCACTGAAATTTGCACTCTCTGCAAGTTTTCAGAGATAGAGTTTGAAGGAACCATATGGAGTAGGGTATAGTGATATCCATTCTTTAACTGATGGCACTGTGGCTCTGTCTTCTTCTAAGCAGGGACTTAGAGGACCTAGACAGCTGGCACCCTGTGTGGCTCATATTTTTTCTTTCTGCAATAGAGGGGATTGGTCTAGGTAAAGTATATCTGGACCTTTTGAGTTTAGAGTATGACTAAAGATTAAATTTGGGCTTTTGTGATTTGAGAAGAGCTATAGGCATGCAGTCTCCACGGTAGTTATTTTAATTCTCTTTTATTCTTTTTGCTTCTATGATCATAAAGTATTATAATATTATGTATGTGTATATATAAATATGTGTGTGGTTAAACATGCATAGATAGACGTATATATGTATGTTTAACCACACACAGAGAGCTGGCTCCAGCATATCCCTGAAAATACTACAATTGAACATAGTTAACTATATATACATATATATTTCATATATATAACTATATTTATATAACTACATACATATATGTAGTAAATCATGTTCAATTGTTAAATTTTCAGCGTGAGCATTTATACAGAAATATTACATATTACCTTGGAAATCAGTAATAATGACAAATCAAGTCTTGATTTATTGTGTTGTTAATTGTCTAGACTTCAAAAAGTGGTAGAGAAAATGTTACTAATGTAGATTTAAGTTAAAAGTGTGTTGTGCACATTTTTTTTCCAGAGATAGTTAATAAACATTTATCAAAACACCCTTGAGTACTAGTTTGAGTGAAATGAAATACAGCATGAAGGGAAAGAGGTAAAATTTTCCTGGTGGGTAGAGGTCAAGCCAAGAAACTAAATGGATAAATCCACAAAGACCATACCCCCTAGATTAATGGTAGTTGTCGTTAACAAAAGGGTTAGAGATAGGGAATGGGTTTAGCCCACTCCCTGAAAATTAAAGGATCCTCCTGCTCTGTGCCTTTGCACAAGCTGTTCTTCACACCTAGAATGTCCTCTGTCTTCAACCTTACCTCATAACCCTCTGGCTTCCTTTAAAGTTCACCTCAAGTGATAGTCTTTACATAAATGCCTTTCTGAGACATGAATTGATACAAAATGAAATGAGCAGAACCAGGAGAACATTGTACACAGTAACAGCAACATCGTGTGATAATCAACTATGATTAGTTTAGCTCTTCTCAGCAATGCAATGATCAAGGCAATTCCAAAAGACTCATGATGGAAAATGCTATCCATATACGGAGAAAGAACTGCTGGAGTCTGCATGCAGATCAAAGCACACTATTTTCACTTTCTTTATTTTTTCATTTTTTTTCTTTTTGTAAACTGTAATTGTTTTGCAAACTGTCTCTTCTTTCACAACATGACTAACATGAAAATAGGTTTTACATAATTGTATGTATATAACCTATATCGAATCACTTACCATCTTAGGGAGGGGGAGGAGAAGGCAGGAGGAAGAAAATTTGTAATTCAAAATTTTATTTAGAAATGAATATTAAAATATCTTTACATGTAATTAGGGGAAAATGCTATTTAAAAATAATAAATGTGTTTCCTGATTTCCCTGTCCTCCTCAGTGTCCTCCTCAATCCTGAAACTATATTATATTGATTTATCTGAGTATGTGTTTCTCCTCCTGTAGAAGCTAAGCTTCTTGAGGTTAGGTAGGGATAGTTTCATTTTTTTTTATTGTCTTCCCAGCACCAATCACAATTTATGTAACATAGAAATGAATTGAATGAATGACCCACTATGCCAAGGGCTTTCAGGACACACTCACAGCATGGAATCTCTAGGGGGACATAGAAAATCCCCAGTTCTGCTCTTGAACTAATAAGTTTTCATTCTCTTTAGGGTCAGGGAGCCCTTAATTACAACCATGGGGAGAAAAGAAGGGTATTCTTAACAGAGTAAGTTGTGTATTTCCTGAGTTTGGCAAAGACCAGGTCTGGTAAGTCTTGGAAAACTAACAGAGCCATAGTTCAGTCCATGATTTGCTGATATTAAATATGTGTATGTGTTTGTATGTGTGTATATATACATATATATATTAGTATACATGTATATATATTAGTATACATGCACATATATTAGTATATATATGTACACATATATACATATACATATATATACATATACATACTATATACATATATATAATATATACATGTGTATATATATTAGTATTTTAGGCCTAACAAACTCATAGTGGTTTGTTGTAGATACCTAATGATAGTGAAAGCACTCTTTTGTGCTGATTAGATTATTCTAGATGTTATCTATCACCTTATAGTTAAAACTATCTTGAAACAAAATCCTCTTAATACTTGAGTAAATAATTCTCTTGATGAAGAACAAGAATAATAACCCTTCTGAAAAAGTCTGCTCTCGTGAAGTGTCATGTCCCAGGGGCTGTGCATCCTATTTACTCAATCAACAAACATTTATTGAGTACCTCAGGTATAAGAAACTGGGTTAATTATGGGGGGGGGGTGATACAGAGAAGAATAAAACATGGTCCCTGCTCCATATGGAACTTAACTTCTAGTAGAGGATGAAAAAAGTACAGTCAATCTTCAACATTCATATGTTTAATTTTCCCAACTTCAAACATTCTAGTGACTTTATTAATAACTTCGTTTTCACTTCCACATGGCAACTAAGCACATTTGTGGCTATGTACAGTAGAGAAAAAAATAAGAAGCACAATGTGTGCAAGTTTGTGGAGTGAGTGGTATCCTACTAGGTGCTTGCCAAGTCTTGTTCCCCTACTATTGCAAAGTAAAGAACTCCCTCTACATTTGTTGCATATTTTCATTGTTTGCCATTAAAACCGAAGTTTTGTGTTACAGTTATACCCCCAAAGCATGGTGAAAGTCTCTTGGGTTCTAAGTCCAAGTGTCAAAAGTTTAGCGAGAAAACAAAGATGTTAGATAAACTAAGCACCTGAATTTCATGAATTCATGAATCCTCTCCATGCTAAAGTAACCTCCCAAGTGCAAGATGAGGGAATTGAAAAAACCAGAAAAGCAGCTAAGTTTATGGGTAAATGACATGATGGTCACCCTCTCTCCTCTCAAAGTCTTGCCCACCATATCTGGCCTGCTGCCAGGCCAAGCAATCCCTGGAGTTCCAACCTTGGACAGGGGCTGGGGACTCACTTGGAGGGATGTGCTTTTCATGGGAGAGCAGTTCAACTATGGAGCAGAAAGGGCAATTAGATATGACAGGTTGGCCCTTTCCCTTTTTTACCTCAGGGTTCTTCTGGCAACACTGTCCCTCTTCCTCCCCTTCTTGTTCAATGTTGCTTCTCCTCTCCATGCATTTTATGGGTCATTTCATGGTTACTGTGTTAGGAAAAGTACATATTATCAGAATTAATGTTTTCCTATAAAGAATTGTATGCAGAAAAATGTACTTTCAGCAAATTCTAGCAAAAGATTAGTTTTTGGTGGTTGCAGAAACCCAACCCTCTATTTCCCATAGGTTCATCTTTTTTTTTTACTTTTGTGCCATTTTCTAGGAATGTTACCCCACGAAAGTTGAGGATTGACTGTATATGTGTACATATAATTGTAGTATAAAGTAAAACAGAAGTGTAGCAAGCAAAGTAAAAAAATGCAATTTTTGGTGTTTTTATATGCCACGAAAGGATGAAATTTATCCTTTAGAAGGATTTTTATTTAATTTTAGCGCAATGTTTAGAAACATGAAAGAACATAAGATATAATAAAGACCAAAAACCATTATGCTAATTTTTATCCTTCAAATTTGGCTAACGTGCATTCACCTATCAACAACCCTCTATTATTGTATATGATATTTCTCAAGCAGAACTAGAGTGACTTGCTGTTGTAAAATGGGAAAACTATGAGCATTTCCAAAGTTACCTAAAGTAATAATCTTACCTATTCATGCCTTTTCATCTTATTTACTTTGCAAAATGTATTGCTCACATGCTTCTACACTGGATTCAAAAATGGCTTTGTGTCCTTTACACATCTCGATGAATTCAAAATACGTTGTCAGAGTTTCTATCTTGGCACTAAATAAGATATTGCTCATTCTTTTTGTCTCTTCTCATTACATTTTTTGATCTTTTCTTTGTCCTCTATCTTTTTATCCCTTTCACCTTCTCTCACTTGCTCCATTCTCTTGATCCATCAGACACAGCCCAGCCATCTGATGCCTATACCTTAAAGTAATTTTGGACAGAAGCAAAATGCCCTGGAATCCTTAGTAATCCGCTTCAGATCCAACTAGTGAGCTCCAGTTAGGCTCCTATACAGCCAACAGTCTTTCAGGCAACCATCCTGGAAATTGAAAACCTGTTACAGTATCAGTGAAGGAACATGAGCCCTGCAACAAAATCATACAGATAGAAAAGAAAATGTCCTTTTGGTGTTAAGTTAAGGCGCTACCAACACAACCGAGAGAGAAGAAAGGCTCTGTATGATCTCTATTGATGGAGCCCAAAGTGACTGGTGCTTATAAGCAGGCTACTTAGTTTGCCTATATTTGAGGTGTCACTGGGTCTTTCCCCCCAAAGATTTGTCTACAAATTGTGTTATAGTACTCTGCTGCCAGGCAAAAAGGACATAGTGAGACTAGAAAATAATGCATATTGGACCTAGTTCCTCACAGAGTGACAACAATCATAGGACCACTCCTTCCCAGCAGTGGTCTTTTCTTTTTTTAGGGAATAGTAGGTGTTTGCCCCATTCTCATGCCTTCAGATCTCAATTCTGTTTTTTTTTTCCTGAATCACTCACAGAAATCTCATCTCTGCTCTGGCCCCTAGTTATCTCCTCTTGACCCCCCCCAAAAAAAACTCCCTTGTTTCCTCTGATCACCTCTTTGACCCTCCTCTCACTCAGTGTCTACCTTTATTATATTGCTCCTTTTATGCCTTCCTTTCTGTCTTTTCCTTAGGTTCCCTCCATGTGAACAGATATATGCTAGGATGTTTGAGAAGAAAGTGTGGAGTATTAAATATGTTACAGGTAAGTGGATCTAACAAAATATCTCTGGTTTGGCTAAGGCAAGACAATCCCTTTGGAATATATTTTCATCAACAAACTTACTTTTTTCCTCTGTAAACCACAGTCAGGACTTTTGGGGAAAAAGAAACATGGAATTAGAATAATAAAATTAGCGATTTCTGCTCACTTTGTAGTCCTAGCTTGTCAAAAATGGTAGCTCTACTCTTATTTGCAAGATAGATGGAAGGTAATTTTAGGGGGGGGAGGAGGGAGGAGGGAGGAGGGTACTAGCAGCTTATCTGCCTACCTGTTATAACCCTCACAGTTAAAAATAACCTCCTTGAGGGCAAAAACAATGTCTTTTTTTTAATTACTATTTGTATAGTCAACATACTGGGTATATTGTAGACTCAGTTTTCAGGAAGATAAGCACCAAAATAAGAAGCAGTATGGCTTGGTAAGTTAGGAAGATCCAACCTTGGAGTCAGGAAGACTTAGGTTCAAGTTCAACCTCAACCTCATCCTGACTGTGTGTCTGTGGGTAAGTCACTTACCCTCTCAGTGCTCCCAGACAATGCTCAGTCTTTGAGCCTCGGAGCAGTTACTGATCTGTAACAATAGAGGGAATTTCTCCACTGGGAATTCCCCATACTGATGAAATTATAGAGATAATTTTTTAAAATAACAGAATATGTTGACAATACTAATTTACTCTTCTCTTTCATATCTCACTGTCTCTGTTTTCTCTTATTTTCCTCACTACTTTTCTTCATTATGATTTTTTTTTTCAAATTCCTCCCTGCCCTGTTTACAATAAATTGTTCTGTTCTTCATTTCCTAAACTAACCTCTTCCTTACCTAGTTATTTCTGGTCACCTGTTTTACTCTCTCCACTATCTCTTCTCTACTGCCTTTCCACCTCCCTATTCCTCTCCCTGGCTCATCGACCTGGTCCCAGTGCATCCAACTCTGTGAGACTGGGACAAGGATCAGGAAGAGGGAATTTAACAATGGCAGAGCTGTGACAAGTTAATTCAACTCCTGCTGTTAAATTAACCAGCGTTCCAGCCGAGTTAACGCGTCACCCGGTTTCAAAAGGTTAAGCTCCAAGCTTAATCTTATTCATCATTATGAACTCTTCAAATTGGCTGAAATATTTAAAATTCAGCAAAATGAAAAGACTGCAGGAAACATTTAAGAGCCAACTGCCCTGTCTTCAAAAAAAAATAGAGGCATAATCGACAAAGATTAGGAAAGTAAGGCTAGAGAATGGGTGAATGGAGACACTTGAGAACCATTTTAGGGTGATTAATAAAAGGACATTGAAGACAAGGACATCTGTATCTTCTTACTGTCTTGACGAGATTCGGGTGTTTGAATGAAAGTTAATGGAGGACTCTTAGAAGGCTTGTCCTATCTCATCATAAGCAATAGACCAAAACTGAATGCTAATGAAAAGAGCTGGAACGTGACACCCACTGAGTTCCATTCTCTCCTTTGGGTTCAGGGCACAGATGGGAGATAGGTCACACTGTGTCCCCTCCCCTAGTTATGACTGTGGAGAAAGGATAATCATATGCTCTATGCTCAGACTTCTGTGACAGTGGGGGCAGATATTCACACCTTGAGGTTTGAAACTAGGCACAGTAGGAGCTGCTAGATGGCAAACTAATAAAAAATAATTCCCATCATACTGTGGCAATTTTGTTCTCTTTTCCCTCCTCCCCACACCACATTTGGGCATTGACCAGCAGAGTTCTTATTTCAGGGAGAAAGGGGAAGATTAAACTTCTCCATTGCCTTCCCTATTAGCTAACACATATTAAAGATTATACAATATGGCCCTTCACACTGAAGATTAAAAAAAAAAAAACAGCTACTTCCCTTCCCCACAGCCCTTTAAATCTCTCACCTTCCAAATTTGGACCAGCCTCATCTGACTTTCGCATCTCTGTCAATTAGCATCACCATTTTTCCAGTCACTAAAACTCATAAACCTGGAGCAAACCATTCACAAGCATTTGTAAAATGCCTGCTCTGTGCCAAGCACTATGGTAAGCATTTGAAACAAAGACAAAAAATGAAAGACTACTCTCAAGAAACTTCCTGCCTCCATCTCACATCCTGTCAGTTCTAACTGCAAGATATTTTTAGAGTACATCCTTTCTGAGAATTTCTACAGCCTTTTTCCTGCTTCTGTCCCTCATTACCTGTCCCCTGGAATATCATAATAACCCTCTAGCAAATTAACTGGACTCTCCCTTCTCCAATGTATTCTAAAGCAGAATTATCTGCCTAACATATAAATCTCATTTTATCAGTTCGCTCAATGTCCCAACACATTCAATAACTCCCTATTGCCAATCAAATCAGCTCCTTGAGATTTGAAAAAAGAGACATTATTTCCAACTGGAAGTTTTGAGGAAGTCTTCATGGAGGAAGTGACACTTGAGTTGGAGAGAAGAGTCCTTTCCAGTTGTAGGGAACACATGAGTAGGGGCATTTAGACAGGAGAAGACAGGGCAAAATTTAAAAATGGTGATTAGACCAATTTGATTGGATATTGCTATATATAAAGAGTCATAGAATGATTAAAGCCTAAAAAAGTAACTTAAAGGCAGGTGATTGATATCCTTGAGTGCTCGTATAACTTTTCAGACTCAGTGGACTATGTTATCTCAAAGGCCTTCCTCTAACAATATTCTTAGTGGTTTGTTCTGCAACCCAAAGTCCCTCTTTTGAACACAAACATCTGGCTTAAGGGCAGAAATGAGAATTCTATCTCTCAGAAGGCCCTCAACTCAGGCTAATAGAGACATTGAACATAGTATAGGTTTATTTATTGTTTGTCCTTCATTTTCGAAGAGGAACAATGACATCACAGGTGATATCTTGACTCATGCTTGAATTGGATTGAAGTGAGGCAGAGTTACACAAAGTGCTCAGCTTCGCTCTCTCTTCCAGCATCATCAAAGTCCAGTGGCAAGACAAAAGTCAAGATGACTGGTGATGGCCCAGGATGTAGTGGATAACCTTGGGTCTTAGCATTCCACAGCACCTACTTCAGTGGCCTTCATGGCCCTTGGAACAAATTGTTCTCATCTGCCTATTCCATAGGGAAAGTCTTCACATACTTGGGGTAAACATCCCCCAACTCACTGACTGGTTTGAAGTCTATCCATTACCTTCAACCTGGTTTAGTCCATCTGATGAGATGGTTTTACGGGGTGTGACCATTACAAATACTACAGCTTCTTGGAGCCACAAGTTTATTTCATACAGTAAGGAACACAGAAATGAGTTAAACTGGAAAACTTACATTCTCTCCCAGTAAACTTCATGTCTATCT